CACACCCACCCACACCCACCCACACCAAAAACAAAATGAGGAAGGGATGGGGAGGAGATGGCAATGAAGAGCCTCAGTGGAGGAGGCAATAACAATCAGGAGAGAGGGAGGACATGAACATGCGGAGGATATCATAAGGAAAAGGAGGGACGGGGAGGAGTCTACCAAGAGAGAACCTTGGTCGACAACCGAAATTCTCTCTCCCTCTGTTTGATTGTTTTTTTTTTGGTCCATCATGGTTGATGTAAGAGCGCGCGCCAAATCGTGCACGTGGACATAAAGGAGGAGGAGCACAAGGAGAAGGACGGCGGACGCTGAGGTATCGAACTGAGGAACGAGAGGATGAGGAGCAGGACAAGTAGCAGGAGGCTGGTGATGGCTTTGACAAAGATGGTGGGGGAGGAGGAGGAGGAGGAGGAGGAGGGACAGCGAAGATGATCGTGAGGATGAGGAGGTTGACATGGTATGCGCAAAGATGGAGGAGGAGGAGGAGGAGGAGGAGGAGGAGGAGGAGGAGGAGGAGGCTGACGTGGTGGCACAGACCAAGATGGAGAAGGAGGTGGTTTATCGTTTCACGAGGATGGTGGCATAAATTTTCCCTCGCATTCTGCATGAAACAAACGGCACACTCGTAGACCTAGTATTGATCACCAGATTGACATCCCAAAACCAAAACTACACAACGTGCTGCTGAAACTTCAGCTCCATGCATCATCTACTCTTCAGCAGTGGATCAGAGATGCTTCATACTAAGTTCCTAGTCTCTGGTACTTTGCCAATATGTATGTCGAATCCAGGACTCAAACACACAACTCTTGGCACGGCCGGCAAACACTGAACCAATGGTCACATTCAGCAGTGACATAAATTCTGAAAGGCTAAAAGCCGATCTGAACGTTTTCAAATGTTTTCATGGAAGTTCCTTGTTTTTGCTTGTTTGTTTGTTTGTTTGTTTGTTTGTTTGTTTGTTTGTTTTGGGAGTATTTTTGGTGTGCCGCTCCGCTTTTGGGCACACTACACAGCACAGTACCTCCCCTCTGCCCTTCCTCCTCCACCCCTCCCCTTCTGCCTGCCATGGACACTCTACCTGGGGTTACCTGTATAATTAGGCGCCCCAAGGGGGGTATTTTGATGGAAGAATTGTCCACAGGTGACTTTTCCACCCTTTGTAAGGACAGTGATAGTCTATCTGGGGCCAACACAGAATCAAGCATCAATGCCATGAACTTGATAAAATTCAAATGACAGAATTCCGTCAAGGTGAGTGTATGTAGTATGTACCTTCTTAAATGCCTCCCAGCCACAGCTAATGTAAATCAAAGTTTCTGGCCATTTCATGTTTTGATAATCGTCGTCATCATCTACGGAATCCCCCCCTCCCCACTCAATCCCCTCCTGTAATCGCCACGGCCTTTTCTCTACCCTGTGCCATAAGACAAAGCGAAACACACACAGACAAAAAAAAAAAAAAAGACGAAGCAGAACACAGAGGGAAGAAAAGGAAAGTATGAAAAAGTGAAAAATTGCAGCAGTCAAAATGCAAGGAAAATGAGCAATAGCGAAATGACGGAAATCCAAATTGCAGAATCACACCGAAAGCCAGATAGTCGTAACCATACTTGTGGCACACTTCTGCGGTGCGCGTGCACCATGCGCCATGCACAAATTAGTGATGCGCTCAATTTTTTATTTTTTATTTTTTATAGGGGTGTGTGTGTGTATACACAGCGCGAGCGAGCGAGCGAGCGAGAGCGGGAGAGAGAGAGAGAGAGAGAGAGAGAGAGAGAGAGAGAGAGAGAGAGAGAGAGAGAGAGAGAGTGAGACATGTGCCTGTCTCTTATACACATCTAGATGTGTATAAGAGACAACCTCTCCTCTCCTCTCCTCTCCTCTCCTCTTCTCTCCTCTCTCCTCTCCTCTCTTCTCCTCTCTTCTCTTCTTTTCTTTTCTTTTCAGTCTTTCTTTCCTTTTTTTTTCCTTTTCTTCTTCTTTTTCTTTCCCCCAGGACTTGAGGGAAACATTTCCCTGTAATGATTGGGGGGGACAGACACTTAGACAAGGACTTTGTTTGTCGTAATTTGCCATTGTGTATCATTTTGACCATGGCTAGCTTTGGTCCAAAAAGGTCTTATGTGAGTATGCTTTGGGGGTTTATATCTTCTGTCTCTATCTACTGAGAACAGGCAAGGAGACAAAAGGATCCAGATTCACTGTTTCTACCACAAATGCAAGTAAATGAATTTGGAAGTTGAAACAGTGAAACATAGTGAGAAAAAGGGAGAAAAAGAGAGAAAAGACAGAACAAGAGAGGACAAGAGAGAGAAAGAGAGGAAAAGAGAGAAAAAGAGGGAGAGAGAGAGAAAAAGAGAGGAACAGAGAGAAAAAGAGAGGAAAAGAGAGAAAAAGAGGGAGAGAGAGAGAGAGAAAAAGAGTTCAAAAGACAGACAAAGAGAGGAAAAGAAAAAGGCGTTACAGACATCTTGCAAAGAGATCAATTATGTCAAAAAACTCGACCTTAAAAAGAGAAGTGTAATACAGAGATGGAGAGAGAAGAGAGGAGGAAAGGAAATAGGTAAGAGCATAGAGAACGGAAAGGGAAAAAAAAAAAAAAAAAAAACTGCTGCTTTGTTCTGAGATACCTTTATCAGGGCCTTCAGGCCCACTCAGGTCTGCTAGCTGCTGATTGGAGCGAGGTGCCAGATCTATTATACACCAATTTGGAAATTATTTGGATGCTTTCACATTTGCACCCTTCTTGGCCAATTTCCTTTTCAATTTCGCCGCTCTTGCCTTCCCAAGCCCCATCTTTTTCCTTTTCCATTTCTTCATAGGGTCCTTCTTCCTCGGCTTCTTGCCTCTCTTGAAAACCGCCATCAACTCCATACTGTGTGACCAGGTTCAACCAAAGTTGCAAAACATTTTCACAAATGAAAAGCAACAAACATCATCTGTTGTTAGCAGCTGCTAAGTAAATCTGCACATCTAGCTCCCCCACAGCTGAGGTTACGGGATGGCGCTACTACCCATCCCAGCATGAGCCCGACGTCCTCCACCGTGCAAGCACGGATTCGAACCGGCGACCTTGGCCTCAGGAGCCAGGTAGCCTGCGTTGCAGTGCACACAAAGGTCAACAGCACTCTAGTGAAAAGGGGAACAGGCAACAGAAAACAACAACCATTTCTAACTCCTTAAACCACCAGTACATGTCCCCAGTCAAGTTGAGAATCCGATTGAGCCTCTTCTAAAATTTCGGAGGCTCGGGACAGGGCATCTGAACTAGGCTACCTGCCCGGGCGGCCGGGTCACCTTGTTTGCCCGGGCGGCCCGGCCGTGCAATCATTTATAAGTTCTTAAGCCACCAGTACATGTCCCCAGCCAAGTTGAGAATCCGATTGAGCCTCTTCTAAAATTTTGGGGGCTCGGGACAGGGCGTCCAAACTAGGCTACCAGCCGGGGCGCCCGGGTCACCTTGTTTGCCCGGGCGGTCCGGCCGTGCAAGGGCCAAAGAGGGTTCCAGCAAAAAAAAAAAAAAAAAAAAGCTCCAAAAGATCTGAAAAACAAAACTATGTTATGCAGAAAAATAAACTGAACAACTCTTGCCTCAGGGTCACATCAAAATTCTTCACCGAATTGCAAATAAAAAATAAACTTCTTCAAAAATAGTTTTTTTTTTTTTTTTTTTTTTTTGGCCCCGGCTGGGCATGTGGTCCGGGGCCACTCTGGTCGCCTAGCATCCGAAGGGCCAGTATAAAAAAAAAAATTGCCCCATACTATGGGGTGGCACTTGGCCCAGCCATGAACAGGAAACAAAATTCCGCCCGCCCCCAGGCAGGCCCTGTCTCGAGTCCCCTAACTTTCCGGGGAGGGTCATTCGAATTCTCCAAATGTACTGGTGGTTTAGGTTTAAGTCTATATCCTTCCCACGGGAAGCAATCAATGCCATCCACTCGGGCCTTCCAACAATAATATTAGGGTTTAGGGTTTAGGGTGAGTAATAAGTATATGATGTATTCCTTTGACTCGCCCACGTTGCCGGTGGAATAGGAACCGGACTGATGTTCAACAGTGGACATGTAGCCAGAACCGTAAGGTTCTGCTTCTTGTTCTTCTTCTTCTTCGTTTTTTTAATTTTTTTTTATTTCTTCAGTCTACCGATGGAAGAACTTCTTCAGACCAGTTTTGACTTCCTAACACAGACTTATGAGTTTAGATCCTAGAACTTGTCCCTAGAACTTGTCCCTAGAACTTGTCCCTAGAACTTGTCCCTAGCCTGCAGGTATGACCCGTTGACTCGTTGAGATGCTGGCATTGTCCATTGTTCCTTGCAAATGTCCGTATCCTTTGACTTGCCGTGGGTTCTTGTAATGAACCCACTCCTGCTCCCAGTTGTACTAAGATTCTGGAATGTCAGTATCCGCAGGAAGCGTTCCTCCACGGTAGCACGAGCAGGAGCCGGAGTGGGTTAGTGGTACGGCTGGTGAGAGTCTTGGAGGAAGACGGTGGGTGGAACCTCCCTCAGGAAGACGGCTTGGGCTGCTGTCGAAACGTGGTGTCGGGGGGCCACCTCACCTGTATATCTGTTCTACATATTCTACTTTGTCAATCATGCTTCGTCTTTGACTTTCGTCTCGACTTGACGGTTGACTTTCTCTGTTTACGAGTATTTGTGACCCAACGCTCCTTGCAACGGCATTGTTTCACGGCAAAGAAAGAAATCCCGCGGTCCTCAAGGGTGGGAGCTGATTTTCACATTGCTGTGTCTCACTACCGTCTTCCCCCGAATACAACGCACCCTGATCAGGAAATGTACACCTGCTGTCATTCCAGCTCGATATAGTCATGACGAGGGTGCGTTGTACTTGGGGGAAGACGGTGTTATATAGTCATGACGACGGTGCGTTGTGTTTGGGGGAAGATGGTATTTATGAGACATGGCAGAGAAAGCAGAAACGACAGTGAAATAGAGACAGAGTGGACCTGCCCCGCTGATGCTATCTTTGTGCTAAGTTGAGATGAACCTAGCCAATCTTACAACCACATTCTGCACTAGATATAGTCTAAATACTTAGCACAGGCGTAGCACCATTGGGGCCTCGCACTAAGCCAACAAGCCTGTGAAACACAGAGTAAAGCAGGAACCTAGACGCTTTTCAAGGCCAAGTTCGTTTCACACACTTCACATATTACATCAGGGCCACCCTGGCACTGAGTCTATGGACCCATGATAAACAAGCACTCAGACAACAAAGCATGACTTTAGCTAGTTAGACTACCAAATTCTTGATGCTAACTTCTTGGAATAACACCAGCGGGCCCTGACAATGAGCCTACAGGCCTGAAACACACACACACACACACACACACACACACACACACACACACACACACACACACACACACACACACACACACACACGCACCAAACACACAGATCAAAGCATAAACCTTTCTAATTGAGACACAGACACATCAAGCTTGGAGGGCAAATGGAGGGGTGGGGTTGAGTAAGGTTGTGCAGGCTGCTGACTTCAGTGTTTAGGGATTGTGAATGCATTATTACTTATACATACCTGTCTGTTCCTGGGAAAAACTGATATGCGTAGACGTATGCAAGATGCCAGCAATTCTCTTGCAACAACTCTATACAGTCCTGCTCCACAAAATCATGCCAGTGGCAACTGTCAATGACGAATCCACAATTCCAAATCTGGACAGAAATCCTACCGTCTGCACCAGTGCACCTGAATAGAATACCCGGTCATTATAGGAATTTAATACAATTTATAGCTGTATTTTACTATTTAGTATTTTTCGTTTGGGCAGTTTTCAGTCTAGATGCAGCGATTAAGTAATGACTGGGCATTCTATGCAGAGGAAGGCGGTAGCACCGAAAGAAGGACATTCTGTAAAGGAAGGTAGATGTAGAGCAGGCAGCATACTTTCAGGAGTTTGCCCTTTCTAGCAACTAATGAACCGGGGGGGAGGGGGGGGAGAAGAATGAAAAAAAAAAGGATCTGGGGATTCCGGGGAGAAAAAGGTGGAACACAGGAAATGGTCACGTGGGGTGTGAATGCATTTACAAAATTACAAATATAATAATATATTCAGGATTTCAGCTAGGTTACCAGAGTGGAGAGGGCCCACTTACCGACCAAGCCAAAAAAAAAAAAGGAAAAAAAAGGGAAAAAAAAAAAGTATTATAGTAACGAATTTCGATCTAACCCTGAGGCAAAAAGTTGTTCAGTATATTTTTGATAATTTTTCTGCATATTTCCCAGATTTTTCATTTTTCATTTTTTTGTTTTTTTGCAGGGACCTTCCTTGGCCTGTGAGATGGGTATTCATGAAAGGATACACAGAAGGGTGCATGATAGCTCCTTTCTGTGTCTGCTATCCCCTTTCATTCCCTATCAAGGCTATAAATTTACACAGGCATGTTTACACCCTGCACAGCTTTTAAAGCTGAACGGTTTTGGGGCAGAGGCATATGGCGCCCCAAAAGAGATGATTTTTGGGGTCCTTGAAAGGCGTGTTTACACCCTGCACAGATTCTAATCGTGTCATTTTGGGCGCCATATGCCCTTGCCACATGCACACAGACACACACACACATGTGCACATACACCCACACCCACACCCACACCCACACCGACACACCCACACACCCACCCACCCACCCACACACCCACACACCCACACACACGTGCAACCCCCCCACTCCCAACACACACGTGCACACCGACCGACCCCCCCCCACCCTGCACAGTTTCTAATCGTGTCATTTCGGGC